TCTATCAAACAATACGCTGGAACTTAGTGTAGATCGTCTCAAGATGCTACAGGAACACCCGGCGGACTGTGTCGAGGAGCTTACAGTCCTAGCTCGAGCACAGTCCTCAACTGCTACACCATCGACTGTATTTAATTCGGAAATGACGAAAGTTAAAGTGGAGACTGCATCAGAGCTCCACGAAGTTAAGCGGGCGCTAAATAATCTCCATGACGTGCTCAGTTTTTATCTGTCGGTGGACCACCGTGATATGAACAAACTCACGGTTTTCTGCAACTCTCTTCTGCAGCACGACGGGTTGAACAGACTACGGGCCTTCGAGGCATCGCGAGACCAAGATGTGCGGGCACTTTCTAACTCTATCATTGAAAAAGCAGTGCCTGCTATATGGCACTAAATCTAGCAAGTTGCAAAGCAATAAATTCGTGAAAGTATAAGATACGACAATAACAGTAATAAACTTGAGTGTTCGAGTCTGATAAATTGTTCAAAATATGTCACTTTGGCTGGAATGACGCTTCAATCTCCTCTAGCGAGCTTGACAAGACGCTTTTAATCATCATTCGAGAGAAAAAACCACCGCAAAACAAGACACCACCAGCAGTGCTTGGGACGAACTTACAACTCCAGATTATAAGCGTCTTCGGATGCGAGGGAGACGCTGTGCGGTCGGCTACGAACTGCACTAGAGCCACGTGGCTGCTAAGCATTAGCACACCACTCTTCTGGATACTGAACCGCAACGTAGGAATTCGATCAGAGTTGTCAGGCAATCCAGCTGAAAGGATTTTTTCCTCAACTCCAAGCGAGAAGGAACGTCTGTGACCCACGAGCCCGCGACCTTCACCAGATTGGAGTGTTGATCCGTGGCCAAGCCACACAAGGCGTAACCAGGCGTCAAAAGCGTCGCCCACTGATGCACTTACTAGTTTCTGAAGCGTCAGCTCCTGACCATCGTTGTCCTCGTATGCTTCAAAGCCTTCGACATCAATGTACCTTTCAGCCATTTGCTGCGAAATCAATACTGCCGCTAAAGTAAGAATCTCTAACAGTATCACCCCTTGAGGGTGTAGGTGTAGGGTTTAATCTGAGAAAATGATTTGTATCTTTCAGATCCCGAACGAATGTCGTAAAATGTTCAAAAACTACAATTGCAATTTAAATATAAAAGGCACTTTGACAAAGCAAACTATCTGACAGCCGTCAACTTTAAAGCTCAACTTAGCCGTGTAATAGCAAAAAATGTGCTACATACTGCACTCATTGATAACAGTCAAAGGCACCAACGTGAATCTCGCAAATAGATGTAAAACTTGGTTTTGAAGATTCCCGAACGTCGTATTACCGCATTGAAGTATAGTCATTAGAGAGCACCTCGCTATCTAAACCAACAAGGCCGTCGCGAAATCGACCATGAGCGTCACGTTTGTTTTATTATCATACGCTTACAGAAGCAGGTATGGAAGTAGCTTTGGCGCGATGAGAGCTCATGGAACTGACTAGTTGGAGGGGGAGCTCCTGATGCGGCGAATGTTCACTATGTGTCACTGATAATGCGCTGTCTTGAGTCTTAACTTTAGCAACAAGAGAAGTACGCTCAACTTTTGAGTGAAGATTAGAAGTATTAAAAGTTTTCGGTAAGGATAATAGTGATGGCACTCGTCAAAATATAGTTCTTAGATAATATAATTTATAATAATTTGATCTATATAATAATATAATATAATACAATATAATAATTTATAATAATATAATATAATATAATACAACATAATAATTTATAATAATATAATATAATACAATATAATAATTTATAATAATATAATATAATATAATATAATACAACATAATAATTTATAATAATATAATATAATATAATACAACATAATAATTTATAATAATTTTAAGCTAGAATCAAATTAAACACTTTGTAAATTGAGGGAACTAGATTGGCTAGCCATCTGAGTGTATTTTATCAGGGAGGTTTTTTTGGCAGCAAATTGCGATAGAAATATAAGCTAGTTATTGCTGGATACAGACGCTTATGTTAATAAAAGAATTTACGGTAGACAGCAATATTTATCATTGCCGAAAGTACAATACATTTCTAGAGCCTGTAAGCAATACACATGAGGGTGCGCTTAGCACTACAACATTGGGTGACCTTTATCCAAGTGACAATACTTGAATGTTCTTTTCTGATTTGCGCATCGTTGGCATAGGGATCCAGGCTTGGTTGACACGTCAACTACGTGCATAGGGTGGGTCTGTCTCAATCAAAATGTGAGCCGCATTAGAAAATCATTCCGATTTTAACGTAAGACTCACCCGAAAGTGATCAAGTAAATCATCTGGATGAACTCGTACGCAAGTATTTGTCTCGGGGTCGTACACATTTGCAGGGCCTAATGCAAACGACATCATGGCACACTAAACCGTTTGATCTTGTCCACCATATAAAAAACGAAGCATAAACGAAATACTCACACTGCTTGCCATCGCCACGCCAGATATACCAAGCTTGTGCCTCCCACCACGCTGGTTCCGTTGAGCCTGCATTCTGATACTATCATAGATGGCACAAGTATAAAGCAATAGAACACAATCAAGCTAGATAAGGCAGCTTACTGCGGTCGTAAGCATGGATCCTGGCCGCAACGAGCTTGCCCACGCTTTCACATTCGCCACGAAGTCAGTTGGTACTTTCTTCGTTGCATATTTCTTGGTGAGGTTCCATTCTCCATCTTTTCCGTTGCCGCGTCGTCGAATCCACGGGCTGTGTCCGAAAAACGTCCACGTGTTTGGCAAAATAGTTCTGTGTGGCTCGTTTGGATCTACATCAACAACACCGAAAGCCCATTGCGGAAATTGCTGCCTCATTAGACCGGTTTTGTAACCCGTGTAGTAGACAAACATCTTGTGTACGCATCTCATTTGATTGTGCATCAATTGCGACCAAGACTCCATTGCTTTTGGTTCAATCTGCTTCAGTAAGTTATATGGTGTCGCCTGAGCAAGAAACTTCCCCACGACCTGCTTGGCCATAAAATTTACGTCACGCTTCAATGAACTGTTTGTCTGCCAAAAAGACACGGCACATATCAATAACGCAGAGCATTTCGCTTCGTCACACTGCACACACCTGACCGAGTCTACTAAGCCCTACTGGCGACAGGAACATCGCGATATGCAGCTTTAGCTCATAATTAAGCTGCTGAATGTGAGTGACTTTTCGATAACCTTTTTTTCTGCTCTTCACAGCTACTGGCACGACAGCTGCATCCCTTAAACGTTTCTTAGCGGCAGCTTTTCCGACTAGATTTCTCTGAAAATACGCGCTTTCCACACGCAACATACACGAGCAGACCTCGCGCCCGTTGCATCTTCGCGTATGGCGCACAAGTTTGATGTCGCGAGGAGAGATAGGCTCGGTGGACGGGCTTGGCACGGACTGCGCTACTTGTTCTGCCTGTCCTGAATTCATCGCCTTGTCTAGCTCTTCTTTATTTTTCATTAATTTGCTAAAATCTAGTAAGGAAAAAAAAGGAAGTCGCAAATGTTTGGGCTGAGAGCGAAGCCTGCATGGACAAGCGAGAAGTGTCGCTGGCTAGCGGTTGCATCTAAAGCCAAGATCATCAATCGTGTGCGAGGTATGAGAGATTGGATGTTTAGCGAGTCGCAGCAGCACCGTGAGGTGCTGCGTTTGTTGCAGCGTACGGTTGAGCGCTATGGATTTCTATCAGTGCGTACGCCTTTCAGATGATTCTACCCGCGGCGATCAGCTAACAAATACTCACAGATTCAAACGCCGGTGCTAGAGCACACGGATCTGTACATGCGAACGTTGGGCGACAGCTCGGACGTCGTCATGAAGGTAGATATTGAATGAATTGAGTTAGGGGTGAAAAATGGAAGCACTTGACTATTCTTTTGCAGGAAATGTACACGTTTCGCGATTACTCTGGCAGAAGTATTACGCTTAGACCTGAAGGCACTGCTGGTATCTTGTTAAGCTGTGCATTGGCTTTAAGGTGATAAGCTGATTAAGCGACGACATGATCACAGGCGTATTACGTTTTCTCGTGAGCAATAATTTGATGAATTCTTTGCCTCAAAAAATCTCGTACTCGGGTAGCATGTTTCGGTGCGTAATTGCTGCAATATTTTATCGTCAAAAGTGGTATTTAGCATGGAGATATCTCATACAGATACGAGCGTCCCCAGCGTGGAAGGTACAGAGAGTTCCAGCAGTTCGGTACGTTCATCATAATACTGACCTTGTTCGTCGCAGTTGATATCCCTAAGGCATCAATGCCAGGTGTGGAATATGTAGGCTCTTTGGGGCCGTCAGTAGATACTGAGGTCAATAATCTAAAGATTTGTGTTACAGTCGCCAATGGAGTATGATAATGCAATGCTCATGTTATCATTCTTGTAGGTGATTGCAATGGCTGCAGATGCCTTGGATGCCCTGGGCTTAAAAGACAAAGTCACGTTGGAGTTAAATTCTCTTGGCGACTCTGAAAGGTTCCACTAAATCAGAGTTTAAACTAACTTGAATCTCACGAGACTCGTTTCTGTCGTAATAGTCGTGAAAGATATCGAAATGCACTAAAAAACTTTTTTTCTCAGTGCAAGGACAAGCTTTCACCAGATAGCGTCAGCCGGTTCGTCGGGTTGTAATTACTTCGACAGATTCTATATCATACTGTTTTGTTGCTTTTGTGTAGTCTTGAGCGAGGAAGTTTGCTTCGGATTTTGGACTCCAAGAATGAGTCTGATCAGGAAATTCTTGCAAACGCCCCACTACTTTGTGATTATCTCTCAGATGAATCCAATAAGGTGCAGTATAAATTCTTAAAAATGTTCTGTCGATGTGCAGTGAACTCAGCCCTTGGATATGCAATTTTAGCGCTTTGACAATGTTTTAAGTGGCTTGGACGCGTTGAGTATTCAATATCAAAAAAATACTCGTCTTGTCAGAGGGCTCGTACGACACTTGTTTTGTAGCCTTTATCAAAGTATAAATCAACTCATTTGTGTGCCAAATTGACAGGATTATTATAGTAGCACCGTCTTTGAATTTGTTGAAAGTCCAATATCTGATGCCCACGACGTCAACAAAGCACCTGACGGAGGTATTGCTGTCTTGGCTGGTGGATGCTACGATGGTCTAGCAGAGTCGGTAGGAGGCCCGATGACTGCTTGTGTTGGCTGGGCGGCCGGTATTGATCGACTACTTTTGCTCCGCGATACGCCGTCTCAAGTGAAGCCCTCTGTTTCGGTTTGCCAAGCTTAAGCGCAAGAGAAAAATAGTCTTAGAGCTCATTTCTGTTCTATCAGGTTGTCCCCGTGCTTACGGCCGATTCAGTTGGAGTGATTGAAGAAGCTATGCGTCTTGCACAGGTTATCTTAAGTAACATCATTTTTTGACTTCGCGGCTTACTCACGCGTTATTTGGGTTTGTAATGTCAGCGTCTTCGCCGGCATGGATCAAGTGTTCATTTTTGTCACGGAGGAGGAAGCTTAAGGAAGCAGATGAAGGTAATGTTAAGGCTTTTATGACACGAGTGTTATTATCTTGTTCAAACTTTTCTTGTGATTGTTGTGCTGGATAGGCGGCTGAACGCTGCGGTAGCACATATGCTGTAATCATTGGTAAAGCAGAAATTGAAAAAGGTGCGGTGAAGGTAAAGAATCTTCGCAAGCGTGAAGAGGTAGAAGTTCCCATGGAGATGCTGGGCAATTCCAAGTATTTTTGATGACGTGAGTTCTCAAAACACAAGAACCGGAGCTTTACGACTGGTAAGTTTTGCTTCTTTTGAGGTACTCACCGCGACTAGATCGCATCATGCAGTTGCTAGCCTTAGCAGGTAGATAGGTATACGCGCATTTAGCTCATTGAAGCAATTTAAGGAGTCAAATAATAGACATAGTGGCAGCACCTTGACGTTGTTTCAAATAACGAGCTTAAAATTTTGAGTACTACCTATTGAAAGAAGCGATGTTCTTATGCACCATTTGCACATTGCGTTAAAATATACATTACGTAACCTTGCAAGTGACTAACTATGTAATCCTGTGTTGATGACCGACATTTGTAATGCTATGACAACATCCGTTCGACATGCATTCCATACCTCAGTTTAGAAGTATCAAATTTTGATTCTACTTCTGCGAACGAGTTGTTGTGCACCTCGCACAGAGGAAGCATTGCCACTAAGACATACGTTATCCAACGCAGAGAGAATGTATTAACCTGCCGTCCCAAATATGCCTAATCAAATACCTAAAAGGTAAAGCTGAATAACATATATCTGATTTACTATCCATGATAAGATAACCTTATCTAACGCATTGTCCCCCAAACTTCTCCATTCTGGATTCCATCCCTTACCGACTACTCTCATTAATATGGTTGCTCAGCATATTTCAATCTATCTGTCAAAATCTTAGGGCTATATAAACAATATTGGCTTTTGAAAAATAGGAGCTCAGTCAAAGAAAAGTTCACATTTGCATCAAATCACCTGACAAACAATGGGGTGTTCCCCGTACAAAGTTGCCGTGCACACCTCGCCCTCAAAGGCTTTGACTATTCGAGTCCAAGGTAATTAACGCACACACTGATGGGATCGGTGTTTGGCCCGCTCAAATGCGTGAGGTAGAGATATCGATACTCCAGCGTTCATCTTTTCGTGTGCTTAGCTGTTATTAGTTAACTTTACGCCACTGCGATATCTTTCAGACCGAAAGCCTCCGATATAATTCATGGCGGTTATTATGTTTAACTTTTGAAGATCAATCAATCTATGACTGCGCGGAGATCTCATAATATTTGTCAATACTTCCTACTGAAAACAATAGAGCAAATAAAGTCTCAGGACTAGACTGCAATAACGGACTGCCTACGAGGTCCAGTAATCTTCGACAGTCCAGTCTTAAAAAGACTTCTTTTCTCCTTGGCGTTACCACGTCGAAATCGCAACACTAAAGGCCGTTTTGCATCGTTTAAGGCCCACAAAGTGTGCTTGAGACCAGCGTGTTCAATATTAGCATTGCCGATGGCGACGAGGCAATCACCCGGATTAACAGCTGCTGATTGACCCCTACTGCGGCTCACAATAAGACGCGGTGATTGCTTCAAACTTTCAATCTTCGGAGCCTACAAGCACACGACAAAAACAGCGTAAGAATCCCTATTCAAAAACATACATTTTATAGGTAAGCGTACCAGTTGGAGTCCAAGGGGTCCCTTGCGATTGATCGTGATTTCATACTCATTTGCTTTCGCCGTTTTAAGCGTCGAGACACTGACAGCCCCCATTGCTACAATCCTGTACACGCCAGTAATACTTGTGACCGCTGGATGCTCGGCTACTGGTTGTGTCGTAATTGTCTCCTCAACTGAAAATTCCGTTTCTTCATCCTCTGCCACACTGGATTCACACACGCCCTCTGCGATCTCTCGAGCACGACTGTTTAAAATATCGCGAATGAGCACGAAAAACAACACACTGCATCATTAAACGTACGTTGTTGACCCTCTTCGCATGACTTTGTTAACCTTGTCCGACTTTGGAGCTGGTCTGCGTAAAAGAAACAATTAGGAAACAATGAGGCACTCGTGAAACATTACAAACCCCAGCATGTGAAGAGAATGGCGGCTCACCTTGCAGAGCTGGAAAGCCTGGTCGACTTTCTTGCTAATCGGGAACTTTCAAGCTCCTTAAGAACAAGGGTGTTTACACTTCCCACAGAAACTGTGGTTCCCGTGTCGAGATTCTTGACACACAAATTACTTTCAGCAACAGTGGCTGGTAGCTGAATAGGCGTAGGCTCATATTTCTCATAGACAATCCGATACAGCGACGGACGGTCGAGCGTCTCAACGTCCAGGGTGATTGTGCCAACATCACCTGGAGGAATATTAAACGTTTTCGACACTTGCAGCCATAAAGCCACGTCTGAGTTCATATCAACGACACGAATGCGATCGAGTGGGCTGTGACCAACAGGTGCTTGAAATGTGATTTTCAAAGGCTTCCCAAGATTGCAATTCTGCAGCAAGTATGAATCATGTTAGTTGTGTACATAGTGCATTTACGAAATTTATCCACACACCGGTTTACATTTGACGCTGTATCCATCTCTTTCAGCTTGACGGCGGAAGTACGTCCATGCCGCAAAGACATTCTGCTCGTGCTGAAGCTGCTCCGTGTGCTGCAGCAAACTTTTAGCACGAGCTACTTTAGGTATATTAAAGTCTTCCGGGCCATATCCGTAGGGGTTAAACTCTACACTGGCCCCTCGGCGAATGAGTTCTGCCGCAACATCGTTGGCTCCGCTAGCACTGAAGTTGAGGCAGATGAATTGGTGAGATAAAGATGGTTGGTAAATATTTACAAAACCATTTTCCGTGCACGTACCAGGCGTAATGCAAACAGCTCCAGCCAAGCTGATCCTTGTGGTTCATATCGCATCCAGCGTCAAGCAGGATAATAACAATGCGTAAACGCGACTCCGTGTCGCATTTAGTAGCGAGCATGACGAGGTTGCGCTGCCGACTATCCAGGTAAAGCACCTGCACTCCGCGCTCGATTGCGACCTTGACGCCTTCTACCGAGCCTGTTCGAATGGCGTGAAGCAGCGTTTGAAGCAGTGCTGCCTTCATGAGGCGTGTTATTTGTGTATTAGACTGCATGGCTCGCACACGCCAGCTTTTTGATGCCAATGGAACGAATGGGCGACTTGATTGGGCACTTCTAGAACCGGGTCGATGAGTCAATGGTATCGGTTTCTTTTGCTCCTGCTCCTGCTGGTCCGACTTACAGCTATGAGTTTTCGGCTCGATCTCGTCTTGTATGACACAAGCAAAACTCTTCTTGTTCAGATCAACGTTAGCGGTCACAGACGCCTCCTTCTTATCAGTCTCTAATTCTTCGTTCTTCAAGATTTCAGTCTCCTCCGTTTCAGCTTCACCAGCTTCTTCAGGCTCGACTTCGCCCTTCTCGCAAACGTCAGGCTCACTTAAGACAGAATGTTGATACTGCTCCAGCTCGTTAGCTGTATCAGCTCCTTCTGCTTGCTCTAGAGTCGAGTCGTAAGCACTCGTTGACGATTCGTCGCTCACGCTTTTGCAAATCTGAACAACGTCCGGAATGGTCTTTGGTATGCTGGACGAGTTGCTTGCGACAGGAACGGTAGCCTTGAACGGAGGGGACGGCATTGGTACGGCCAGAGGCTGATCGACACCGTAGAAAACTGGTCTTTCCTGGACGGAGAGAGGCAATTTTTAGGGTTACCTTGTAGCGCAATCTGTTATCAAAACAGTTGGTAAAACGGCTCGACACTTCTACAGTACAGTACGCTGTTATACCAACTTGTGTATCAAGCTTAGTCCAAACATTAATAAGTGCCGATGATCTCGATATTCGGAATCCTTTGTTGAGACACTCGTTCCGATTTACTCCCGACGCTCTATCAAAATGAGCAGATTTCTTGCATGTAGTCCGTATGTTTACAGCCCAAAAGGCATTTTCTTGCAATATACACATCGCACAGCCGACAGAAATATGTATGCGGACTATACTGTGCTCAACATCAAAATGTACCCATACTGGCTTTTTCAAATAGAGGATTGAAATCGTAGAATTTGATGCCTACCTAAGGATTTAGTTCGGTGCTCAATATAATCTATTCCGTAATATTAACAGTTTTTCAAAGTCGCGAGCCTTCTGCGTGAATGTATAGTATAGTGCTTCCAAGTAGAGATCTGTTGCGAAACGAGATGCGGAAGAAACCTGTCGTTACTGGTGTGTAAGATCTGTAACGATACCCAGCTGAAATAAATGATGCCAGTTAGAGTGACAGCTGCAGAAGAGGCTTTTGTTTCATGAGTGATCGCTGTATAGTATAAGGCTCAATGCGCTTAGATACGATTGTTTAAATTCATTTTGCATAGAATCATGAGGGAGCTTTATAATAAATATATAAATAGAATCACACTATTTAAATAGAGCCTGCTTTCCTGCGATTTATGCAAAGTACCAGCAATACTTCTATATTGTGCTTCTGTGGAGTGTTGGAAAAATTTCTGATGAACAGGAGTCTATATTTCCGCCTATATTGTACGTTTTTCACAATTCCACTTTAAAAGGATATTTTTTGATTGTCACAAGTTCTCTGTTATGATATTTGTTAGTTTACACAAGACCTTTCAATTTTCGGCTGCTTATTCATGCAGCTTATAACAGACACATCGTTACTTGTAACCACCGCAATCAGCAGTGCCCCCTTGCGCAACTGAGCCACCAGATTGAGGCAAAGAAGCCAAGATCACAGTGAGGTTTCTCATTACACTGTCCCCTTGACGCGGTTTTCATACAGCAGTATCTAACGCAAACGACCAAAAACCAATCTTGCCGGCAAATTTATGCTCTTTATGGATGTCATCTCTGCAGACCGACAGGCGCAGCACTATTAGAACATCTAGAATGAAAAAATGTAAGATTACCTTTCAGTGAAAGAATGGTTGAGTGCTTCACCTTTCAGTCTTTGACGCTCAGTTCGATACTGCAAACAATTTAGAAATTATCAAATAGACGGCGTGCGTAAGCCTAACGATTTATTTAACCACGAGAGCTGATTCACAGTATTTGTGCTGTAGCAGCTGGTCAAACTCGACCGTGACAAACGATACGATATAGTGAAATATCTGTTCTGTTGGATATATACTGGTGATGTAGAATGCCTATATGATGATAAGAAAGTTGTACGTGAACTTTATTTGCAAGGTTCGAGCTGTCACAGTTATAAAGTTAACGTGAAATGTACTACGCTAACTCACTTCTGAATGTTGCCGCTTATTCATTTATACTCCAGAAAACGTCTAAAACTGATACACCTTTACTGAAAAGCGTATTCAGCCTCAGACGAGAGAAAAATGGCTCAAGCGTCACATTTGGGTTGGTCGTTTGCTAGAACGAGAAAGATGTCTTTCAGACTGATACAGCTTTACTCAGAAGCGTGTTCAGCTTCAGTCTAACGTAAATCAATTCATGAGGATCCTGTAAAAGCTTTGAGCATCACGAATGGGTTGGTGTGTCGAAAACGTTTGCTGGAACAGATTTTGTCGACGGCTTGCATATCGAGACAGGAAACCTTTCTTGTCGTTGAGCGAAATGATACGGGACACCTTTGGTGCATGTGGCACGTCTGGAAGCGCTATAACACATTTGACAAGATATCTTAGCTGCTGATTACGTGAGTGAGTAGGTTCGCGAAACTTAAAACTTATTGGGTCCTTACTCAGCCAAGTTTCCAGGTTAATTTTATCACAATGTGTGAGGGAAGGCGTCACGGTATACATAGCGGCAATATTACTTTGCTGAGAGAGCAGTAATATCGTGGGTCTACTTTATGTGCACTGCCAAAATATGATGTAAATGTAGAAGAGACAAAAGAAAAAGCGATGGATATTTGAGTAGACTAATACCGTTAGTGATCCTGTTTTTAGACTTAATAAATAAAAGCGACTGTTCACTAAATTTTTTGTGACCCTTCAAAAATGAGTTTAGCTGCCGAGAGATAGGAATTGGGCACATGCGTAAAATTTGAAGATCTCATATGATATCTCCGCCAAAAATGAAACGCAATATGCGGAGATACGTTGGCTTAAAACAAAGTGCGGGGCTGGACATAATGAGTGACATCGAGAGGCAGAATAAAACAACTTCACTGTGTTTCACATAGCGTACAAGACCATGGCGTTTCAAAAGCCTCCACACAATTTCAAGTGCACGTGGAAAGCAGTACAACATGAGCTCAAATCGACGCTTTGTATGCTCAAAGTAGAGGGCTCCACTTGTTGCAACCTGGTAAATAGATGTGATGGTCAAGTCAATGTCATTCTGGGGAAGAGATATTGATGATACAGCCGATGCATTACTTACTCCAGCGACCAGACTTGTTGCGATAAAGTCTTTATGGAAAGCCTTGCGAGCTGTGCAGATGACAAGCTTCACCACCGTCTGGACAACATTCAACGTCAGCGCTCTGTTTATTTGCGACTTTTACAGCCTATTAACCTGGTGGGACGTAAGAAATGCTGATGAACGAAGCGCTGCATATGAAGTTCGAGCAATTGTAGCCACTGGTGCTCTCTTCATTTGTTGATAACGTAATAATATCGCAGGGAGAAAGTGCACAGGTAAATAAATTTGCATTGACCTCCCGAACCCATGAAACCAATTTTTAACGGCATGTGTTATGCACGATTCTCTGATGGCAAAAAGATAAACATTGACAATAATGTCAAAATGATTTGACTTACAACATCAACGTACGTGTGTAAGTGGGGCTGACAGAGACGGAACGGAAGCTGGTGACCATGGACATCAAGCTCACCACGCATGCGACAACGAATGACATATTCCAGTCCGTGGTCAGTAACAGCCCCGATTCGGCAAATCCACTGATAGTAGCTCTGTAATAATTATATAAGATTAGGACAAAAGTTGTGCTTGGACCTGTCCACAACAAGCAGCAATTAAGGATCTTACATTCGACAACACCGTTGGGTCCACGACAAATCCATATATAAGAACAGCATTGCTTATAGCGAAAAGCAACTCTGTCGAATGCCGCCAAGTTGGCATGACACCAATTGTCACCAAATGGCGACAAACGATGTCCAGCATCCGTACAAATATATACAACGAAATTGTACTGCGTCTTGAAGGCGAGTCCAGTAGCAACGTTAGTCCAGACACCGCCCCGGCAATGGCTAAGTTGACAGTATCACGATCACCGCCTCGAGCTATTCGTGCCACGAGCTCCGTAACTCGAAATATTCCAACCAGACTCCCCCCGAAAAAGGCAAAACGGAGTGTATCTTGCTTTAGCAATAGCCTTGCTGCATCAGTATAGCCATACTCGAGACTACTCCACTTTCTCATAGTCAGCAACACAGCAGTGAAGGCTTTAGCTCCATATGCAAGCAGAAAAGCCCTAACTGCCGCTCGAAAAGCTATCTTGAAATCTTTTGTAACGCATATCCAATCTATCGCCATGTCATGCAATTCCTGGCGTCTAAGAGAAGCGTGTCGTTTAGCCTCATTATCCGATTCGTCGCGTCTTCGATCAGCGTCATTATCCGATTCGTCGCGTCTTCGGTCAGCGTCGACACCAGAACGCAATAGCGATCGTTGCTTTTCTGACTTCTGTGTCTTATTGTGCAGTTGCAGTACCGCGGCCGTAAGTTCTGGTGGATCACTGCGCCGCTCAGACGAGAAAAAAGCCGAATAGACACGTTCCATTTAATAGATCTGGTGCTTCTTTAATTTTCATTTACGTAAAGTCATTTTTGACTTGGGGGGCATTGTTTATGTGGGGTGATTACGGTATGCTGAGAAGTCTGAACTGTCCGCTGTATTATTTGGTCACGATAGCTAAGTCCTAGCAATATTTCGATTTAAAATAAGCCATAAAGTATTTTTTTACACAATCGAAGTCTGACCTCATGATTGTAGTTAGCTTGTATACGATTTAGCTTTTTAGCTTTGTGGATTTCGAGCTTTGACCAAATTTCTTTCACTTTATTTGTTCTTGAAGATTGCTTGCTCTTTCCTTTCAAACATGGCTTGTACATTTTTTTTCCTGCTTGCGCACATCAGGTTATCGAAAGAAAATGCAAATTTTAAGCGTATTTTAGAAATATATGTACCGTTTAGAAAAACATAAACAATTGTAATATGTACTACAACAAGTGCTATACAGCCGCGAAATATTTTAATTTCTCGGAGTATCTATATCAATGTTCAATTTCGCATCGTTTTCGACCGGTATGGCACACCGTCAAGTGTTGGCTACACGTTTCATTTTCAATCAAGGATCAAAATGACGTTTACTGTTTCAAGGTTCATGACCAGCGCAAATATTAAGGTGTAAAACGCTTGAACAGTTTAATAAGTTCACAAACCATTTAGCAAGACGTGTCCGCTTAATTCTTCTATTCTCGGTTCACTTTGCGCAATGTAAAAAGCATCCAGGTGTGCTATGTCGATTTATGCGATCAGTGCTTGATTACGTATAATTGCAATATAGTCATATATCTCAGATGCCACTCTTTTTGTTTGGTTAATACGATCGCGAACATTAACGAAAAAATCTAGTTTCTGATTTTGCACAATACTTTTTATAATCAGCCTCTAGATTAAAATGAGTTCCCTCAGCATTCAATTTTACGATTTACGAGATATCGTCAGTGCCATATAGCAGGCACTGCTTTTTCAATGATAGAGGTGGAAAGTGCCCGCACATCTTGGTCTCGCGACGCCTCGAAAGCACGTAACCTGTTCAGCCCGTCGAACTGCAAAAGTGAGTTGCAAAGAACCGTGAGTTTGTTCATATCACGGTGGTTCACCGACAAATAAAAACTGAGCACGTCATGGAGTTTGTTTAGCGCCCGCTTGACTTCGTGGAGCTCAGGGACATTCTCGACTTTGATCTTCGTCATTTTTGTATTTATCTCAAATGGTGACATATCCGTTGAAGAGTGTGCTCGAGCAAGGATTGTAAGCTCTTCAACACAGTCAGCCGGATGTTCCTGCAGCATCTTGAGTCGATCATTACTCAAATCAAGCGTATTATGTGATAGCCTTTGATATGCTGCATCGGTATTGCTAGCCATTCGTGCTTCTTCGTTAGCCTTGACTGTGCCAGCAATTTCCTTCTCGAGTTTGCGAAGCAGTAAACGACGACGTAACATGTCCGCACGTTGTATGGTAGCTTGCTTCAAAGCATCACTTTCGCTTTTGCGACGTCGAGCATTGCGATCCTGTCGAGTGGCTAAAACAGCCTCAGACACTCCATACGACACGCTAGCTAGAGAGGGTCGCAAGTACGAGAACCGCCGATGGACCCTATATCTTTGTACTTTGTCGGCGCCAGCGCCAGCGCCAGATTCAACGTCTTCAGCACCGAGCGACTTGTATTTGCGCAACCCATTCCGTGCATGTAGCGAATTGTGCACTTTTTGGTTACGTATTTGGAGCTCTGGAGACGCGTGCACAATTGCTACGTACTTCTTGTTTAGACGTTTCTCGCACTCAGGTGCCACGACAAAGTAAGATAATAGTGCCAAGGCCACCATCACGATGGTTAGCACTAGCAATACAAGCTGTGTCTCCGTGTATCTGGCGGTGATTGCGATTAGTAAATTCAGTTCTTGTTCCATTACTTAGTCGTAAAATGTGTCAAAGGGTATCAAAGGTTGGGTTGATCCTTTTCACAGTCGATTAACAAGTGATCCTGTTCTTATTCGGCATAGGCTTAAGACGGCCGATGCGACATATAGAACTTGCTTCAGATCTTCCCGCGCCATTTTTGTCGTGCAGAAGAGACGTTCTACTGACCAACTTAGTGAACTCGAGAGTCAAATTTGCCTGATTTATGAGGTGGTCAGTGAAATTCCTTGCGTTCTTCGCGAGTAACGACGTGACAAAGGTTAGCAGAGTTTCTTCACAGGTTAAAGTAAGTCAGTCTTCTAGACCGAAAACGTGGAAGTTGTCTCGTAGCAAACGCATACTTATGTATATCCTCGGGTTAGGATTGGCCTAAGTTGTACTTGCAAGAACATTCCTAATCTCAGTAGTACAGAAAATGAGCCAAATGACTTACGATCCTGAGGTCTCCCACTTTAACTAAAGTCTAAAATGCTGTTACCCTTAATGATTATCAATTAGGATGTAGGTGCCGCAATATGTCGCGATGCCTAACCGATGTATTCAATGCCATAATTCCTGAGCTTAACAGAATGTATGCTGAACATGGCATCCCTTCTATACCTACGTCGCAGTAATTACTGTTATAACTGGGCTCTGAATACGACACAAATCTATCTCCACTTGCGCACTGCGGGAAGTAGGCGACCATTTCAATAATTCCATCGGTGTCTAATTCACCCAAGATTAGCATTTTAAATACTCTGTGATAATATACCTCTTTCTCTGTGCCATATTTTCGTTGCGCTTAGCGTGTGTACTGGGTCAGATGCGTGAATACTGAGGTAAGCATACCTACCGCTTTTCACGTACGGTGAATATTGGCCATAAAATTTGTGACTGGTTTCGAAGCTAGTGTCGACGTTACGTAAGGACATACTCCCAGTCGACAGAGCATCGAAGCGATGCCAAATATGGTGGCTTTGATGTATGTCTTCGGCCCTGAAGGAAGCCACAGCATCACCTTGTTTGCAGTAAGAAAGACGAAGTGATGTTTCATGTAGCACATTCGCTCCGGTTCCTCCAGTAATGCAGCGGGGCTGCCGTAGCTTTACGCTTTGAGGAAACGTAAGATAGGTCACCGACCTCTCGTTCTATACTTAGAACAAGTCAGACTTCAGCGGATCGCAATCCGCTTACTCCGAGAGTAATTATTGCCTTAACCCAAGGCTAGTTAGCCCTTCCGTTCAAATGCAAAATTGACTTTATTTATTATTATCTGAGGCAAAGCCGCCTATTTTAAAAACATAGATTTTCCTAAATATATATAGTAAAATATGAATACATGCATAACTACTGGCTACCCAGCCACGTACCGTATTCTTATTTGGGTGCAGTCACATCATGTCTTTCTCGTTTGACACACATCCCTGTTACCAGGGTACGTGTAACCCCGTTACAAGCAAAGTGCTGAACCATATTGGACGACCCATGTGCTTCAACACGTCCCAAGCTTCGTCCGCATCCCTAAGTACAACCGCCTTGTATGTAGATGCTTAAAATCTTCTTTTGTCCCGATACATCATCGTCGTCGCCCTGATTGACTTCGTTCACTAAAGTAACTGCCTTCGTCAATAATTCATCACAATACTTTTTCCGATACACAGCAATCCTGTGAGTGAGCATGAAAGGTGAGAATGTTGCCATGAAAGTATAAGAAAATTGTTGAATTCGTATCTGCTACCACCCCAAAATTTTCACCCACCACCCCGATCTTGCCATCGGATAGTGCGAATGCTCGACTTAGTCGTCAAATGTTGATTGCTTTCTGCGTCTATCTCCCCTACTTCATCCAAAACGGCCCTCGCTTCGTCAATGACCACCACAACCAGTTTTCCAATAGATTCATTTATTGTTGAGAAGATGGCAAACCGAAGCCAAATTAGTATATTTAGTTCTTAATTTGCTACTCTGTGCTACCTCTAAGCTTACTGAATGTAATCTGACTTGTCTAGATCAATGAACGACTTCCATCACTTCTGTGTTTGATATCCTATCTACGACAGTAACTGCGATCGTTACCGTTTTCCTTGAAACTTCAGCCATACGCATTCAGCGATGTAATCTTAACACTCCCACAGTGTGCTTTTTCGCTGACTCGGTTGTAATACCCGTTGCCTTGCGCAGAAACTTATGCATCCTGATTCCGAGTAGCATCCCGTGACCTCTAGAGTCTCGTCACTCCGTCGGCACGAGTACAAATCCTTCTTGAAATTTCTTTACAGAGACGAATTATTCTGCTGTGTAACTTTTGAGACAGTTCTTCTTGAAGACATAGTCAATCGGCTTGTTCCACGCACTTACAGCTTGATTGAATACATATAAAGCATTGCATAACCGGAACGCGATGGCTTAAGCTCCGTTAACACCATGCGGAATCTCCATGAAAACACGATCCGACAGAATACTGTTGAGAAAGGCGGTATCAGCATTCATCTGATCCACTTTGTAAAAAAAATACCAGGGAATGCCATTTCAACTTGAATTGAGTTCATATTGGCCGCCGGAGAGTGAGTTTCACGCCATCTTTGCTTTAAATCCTAGCCACCAATTGTGCGTCGTAACGCATTATACTTAGCAATCGTGATTCGGCGTCATTCGCCTCACTTCACTGCTTTGCCTCGTCATTAGGCATTGCCTGCACGTATGTGACAGGCAAGTCTCGTTATTCACCGATACTTACAGCGTAAGCCAGAACTGCGATAGCAAGAACAGCTTCGGCTATGAAGCCGTCATGGTCAACCATTGCACGCTTTGGGAATGATAGGCTGTCACTTCCTTTTAGAATTTCTTCGGCGCCCAATCTGATTTGTCTCCAGCATAAACATCGGCCCGCGCGCGCTTGAACGCTTAACTTGAGGTTGGAATACCAATTAGTCTTCCTGCAACGTTTCAGCAGGAGACCGGTATACCAAGCAATCTTTACGTACTGATGCTCTTTATATTATCAGCCTGGATCGCACAGCGAACAGTAAATAGAGCACCTCGACCCTACATTTTCCCACGTCGGGTCGCTCCTTCTCTACTTGACCGTTTGGAGCGCCTTCTTCTGCGCATTCGCAGGCTCATCCTTTCCGTGCTGTTATTTTGTCGACCCGGGTGCTGCGCATTATTTGTCATTCTTGGTCACATGTAATTTAAATGTGATTTGTTAATGTCGCCCACATCACGCTCGTCCAACTTTACCGATCGCGATAGCAATACCCTGATGTCATCCAAATCGTAAATATGATATCTTTTGGTGTCTTCAACGTCCCAAGAAACATGTTCTTGAAGCTATTAGCTTTGATCTTCGTTCTGTTCACATCATCAACGTTCGCGTAAGCATATGATCTAAATACTGGAAGGTAATCCATCCTAGGCTTCACTTTAAATTCTGACTGAAACGGGGTAGCATCTGGATGCTCTGTATTAGGGGAACAACCGTCTGGGTACACTGCAGTGTTGACCGCTTCTGCCAACAACAGGCCGGAAGACACTTGTAGTGTAGCATGCTCTGTGCCTTTCCATAATCGTTCGGCTCATTCGTTCTGTCAGTCATTCGTGAGAGCTGTATGGACCCGTATGTTGGTGCACGATACCGTTCCGCTGGTATTAGTCTGTAACCGTCTTGTCAACGACACCCATTCCGTTATCCGAGCAGGCACTTAATGCGGGTCTCCGTTGATTTTCGTACAGTACTTTGAGCACCTCGATTTTTTCGTGAACTTACTTTTCTTCTACAAAACGTATGGCACCACAAATTGTGAGTAATCATCTACAAACGTTCAGATGTACTTTTAGCCTCTCTTCAAAAGCATTTTAATGAGTCCTATCACGACATCGTACACTAGCTCCAATACGCGCGATGTTTTCGTTATAGAGTGTCCTGGGAACGCTCTCCTTTTCCTTCATACAGATACCACTCAAGGTTTTTATGCCTTGTATCAGTATAGGCATACCGTTTATAGAACGCAAAGTATTTTTCAAAATATTCTTGTTGGATCTTTCAAGCGAGCGTGCCATAGATCCCGTTGACTATCAGCTCCCGAGTATTTCACCTGTCATGCCTCCACTTACTGACAGTCCAGCGTGTAGGCTTTACCGTTCCTTGTCCCGGTTGCTATGGCATAGTTCTAGCCCAAATGGTACACGAAGCACGCGGAAATTTTACACTCGATCCACGTTTAAAAATCCATGGAAGTAAAAGTCTGTTAAGTTCGGAGATAAGCAGCACCTCCATCAAGGATAAACATCATCCGCATAAGGCGATAATCTTCACCGTTCCAATTCCTTCAACGTACCGTCTGCAACATTTATCTCGATGCTTGTTGTTGGACGCATGTCCGTTTTTTTCAGTGGCGCGCAATGCGCTTATTCAGTAGCCTCCCTCTTTGCAACTTCTTTGAATCTCTTAGCATCTTTTCTTGACCTCGATCGGTGTGAAGTCCCTGAAGTTTTCCACGATCAGAAAAAATCAGCTCATACTCCGACTGCAGGCTGCTCAGAGTATCGCCAGCTGTTTTGACTCATCCCTTGGAAGCACAAGTTGTCGACCGACGCATGGTCCGGTGCAACACCTTGGCTTATTATTCCTGATACCTTGGTTTCATTTATGATCCACGTCTCTGTTATCTCGATCTCATCCTCCGCGGCCGTGACGTGCACTAGCAGCCCTTTTCTTGCGAGGGCCACCCTCATCTTGAACTCTCGATGGAAGTAGTTACTTACACCCGAAGAACTTTGGGGCACTTTGAAGTCATGGCGGTGAACGTGTCATAAAATCGAGGCTTGGTTGCGGCAGCTACTTTGTTGAGAGGATGGCAACACCGAAGTAAATATATCATATACGGTTTTGAACGCTACTCTGTCATTGATTCTGCTACTTTGGCTGTGCATCAGAAGGGTGTGTGTGGTTCAATAAGATATCATAATCAATTCCTAGCCGCACGATTAGGGCATCACACACAGGGATTTGGCCCTCAAGCTTGAAAATACTGGTGCGAGGCATCAACTATTAAGCAATCGAAATTATTCAAGCTTCACGATTTTATTTCGAAGCAATATCTACGTATGCTGTGGAAAACGTGGGACGAAGTGTATCTAATTGTTTGAAAACCCAGACGCTATTACATAACATGTTAATACTCGCGAAAGACGATTTAGAGGGTAACGTCGAGGCAGAGGCAATTGATTCTGTTTCGATAAGTGTTGATATTACACAGCAGAATGCGTGTGAATGACGACACAGGGATCATGGTAACGGTCACAGTTTCTTTCATGGTTATGGATTTTGAAATAGACGTACTGGTAGTCGTTCCTTGATTAAGTCAGGTTACATTCAGTGTTATTTTAAGACAGCAAAAGATCAGTCCAGATATTCTGTGCATCGAGTTTTCAAACATTGTCAACAGAACTTATGCAACGTAAGGATTACGTTTACCGATATGAACAAACAAAAAGCAAAGACTTGTGTATTCGTGATTGCAGTATTACACGATGCAAAGTTGAAAGATGTTATGTCGCTGGATGTGGCGTGGTATTTGCAAAGTCCACGGTGGAGGTAAAGGTGAGTTGTACCACTTAGGTGATTTGTAGGGGTGCTAAAAAAATACTCGAGCACACGTTTGAAAAATGCAACGTGAATATTTCTAAGCCTTTAGCTTTGCGAATCTTTTTTCTTTCTATAAGCCTGCTGAAGCTTCCAAAATTTTCTTAGTGCATCCTCACGATAGAATTTCTAAATTATTTACTTAACGAGTGCTACGACGCTACTCATTCTTGCGCAGTATCTAAACTGTATCTTTACCTGCGTTACTTCCGAGATAGTGCAACATGTGGAAGTAACACACACAAAGTATCTTCATACTGGTTAGTATTGGTACCTAAGGGTAAGCGGCAGCTAGTCGAAACACTTCTCTGATAGCATTCCCACTCGACTCGACCGTTGCTTGTGCATGAGTTTTAGCTCTTTACGAAGAATGCTGTAGCGCGTTGCTGGTACAGGCTCAGTCAAAATGTCTGCGAGCATGTTCACATAATGGAGCACAACTTGACCGTCTTCGACTCTTACGCAAACGAAGTAGTAGCGTTTGGTGCGCTTGTGAAACTCAAGATACTTGGGCAACGCAACAAATTCTTTATTATCTTCAATAATCTTGATGGCTTCCTCGTGATTCCTCTCATCAGACTTGCTTATATAGTAAAAATTTGGCCATACAGCCTCTTGCAAAGCTACTGATAGCGCCATGAGCTCAGCTTTCTGTAGATGACATTATCTTTACTTTTTGCTCGTTGAGCTGACACACCACTATTCATTACAGAGGTTTAGCTGCTCGTGTTTCTTCTTGACGTGATGTCGTCCGCTCAGTCTTCATTTAATAAGCCATGAAGTCCAGCGTCGTTTGCCGCTTGAAAATGTTGCTTGTTGCCTTGTGCACATCTGAAGACTCGCTTGACCGATTGTTAGCGTGATGAGCATAAGTCTGTCGCGAAATTCCCTTGCTGCTGCAAGATTCGAAGATGTGTCTACCATCATATACATGAGACATCCTGCAGCATTTCAAAAAGGCATTTTGCAGGCACCTTTGCATATGACCTTGGTCAACTTCAGACCAGAATCTCACGGCGTCTTGACGAGAATAGTGTTTTCATCTTAAGCTTCTTCGATGTTGAACGCAAACTTGGTTTAGTCACTGTGCCACCTGTCATATCTTACGTACTTTCAATTCGAATTATTTGATTCAGTTGACCATATTTGCCAATTTAAAAAAGCCACTGAGCGCTTGTTTGGTCTCATAAAACATTTTGGCATGCAACAGGTCATAGACGTACAGTACAAAAAATCGTGTCTCGATCATCACGATTGATGTAGACGCTGTGTGTTTTCTTGCAGCCTAGACCAAGCATGAATTTATCGATTATATCGTTCCACGTACGAGGCGATTGATCAATTCGTATAGCAACTCTCCAGCTTGCAAACTCAATCTGGGGGCTCTTAATGTCTGAATTCATCAGACGATGACATGCAAAGTGTTCTTTCAAGCTCTTCGTTCAAAGAGACTGTTTTCACATCTATCAGGTGAGCGGTAAGCTGGCACTTGGCCAAAGCTAGCAGAATTCGGGTTGACGTAAACTTGGCCAAAGGTGTTACGTTTCTTCTTAGTCGATACCATATTTATTTGTGAATACTTTAGCCAAAGACGTGCCTTCTACCGCTCAATCTTAATATCTCGATTTTTTAACGCGAAATGCTCATATGTTGCTGATTGCCTTACAGCCTCTTTGTAGTGATCGTGTCTTTTGCTTGTAAAATGATTTGATCACAAAGCGGCACGCTTATCGCCACTTCTTCTCTGCATCGCGGAATTTAACCGCGATCTTAAAATATGTCGGCATTTCTCCCACTAAATCCTAGCTTCAAACTCTTGTGCAGTAGTGGTCATCTCGCCAAGTTTTTTGTACCGACTCAGATGCTTTTATCAAGGCGTTATCGTTGCTTTTAAACGGACTTCGCATGCTGTAGTCGCTTGCCCAAAGGTTCCTTAGAGGAAAATTCGGAAGCAGCGTCTTTCACTTCATTATAAGTCTCAGCAGCTGTATCAAGTCTTGCGCTTCATCGTGACCTGAAAAAAGGACTTCAGTGTTGATAAAATTTTATCGTCCACTGTCGAATACATATTTCATTGATGCGTGTCACGACCAACAAAAATGCACTTTTATTAAAGCAATATTCTTGTAGCTCTTCCCATTATCTTGGGAATACGTCATGTGCAGCGTCGCGCTAGCATCGACCAGCCATACACCGCTTGACTTGGCGATACACACTACAGGCAGTCACCAAAGTCATCTTGTAACGGGGCTATACGCACATTTGTATGAAAAGGCAGGTCACACAAGATGGTGTGACCGTACACAGGTGTAGATTACACAAGTTGATGTAATTTCACAATGGTGTGGCTACACCGTAACAAGGGGCCACTGCGTGGCAGGACTGCCAGTAGTAATGCATATAAATTAGATTTTACCATATTGATCAGGTATTACTATATCAATTAGGAAAACCTAAGGCTCCAGATATAGGCGGCCCTGCCGCAAATAAAACAAGTAAATATTTTTCAGTTTTGAACGGAAGAACGTCTTTACCTTGATTAAGGTTTTGAGTACTCTTGGAGGTGGCGGATTGCGATCCGCTACACTCGTACTGGTTCTTGTAAAGAACGTAAGTTCGGTGACCTTAGCCTAGCTTCCTCTAAGCAAGATCTGCGGCAGCCCCGCTGCACATCTTCATTTTGTGCAATATTTGCACGTCGCGAGCGCTGTAGCTCGCCATTCGAATGAAACACTAGGCAATCCAGCGCCTTTTTTCAACGCTGATACGACAAGCACTATTCGTTTTCATCGGCACTTGCCATCGTTTGCGTCGTCCATTATCTGTTGACATGTATGCTTGACCTTTTTATTGCATTACTATACTCGAAGTACTACACAATTGGTATTTTTTAGTTTCCAAATATCTGGTAAATTGTTTCTATAACTGGTAGTTTTTTTATTTTCCTGAAATGTTATCTGTTCGAAAGGCCATTTGTCATTTGACCCATTTTCGAACCGTCCATTTTGGGTCTATATAGTGTCTTACGTACCCATATTACGTAGTGATTACACAGCATTTATTCGAGCGATGAAACGTGCGGATACTCATGCCCTGATGCCTTTAAATGTTAATTGGATGACGAGATAAAAAATACACAACACCTTATCATTACTCTGTCATTAATTTAATATAAGCTAGTTACTGATCTCGAATGACATGAAGTATGTGTTGGAAACAAGTTAAGTCGTACCGAAGTAAACCAGGAGGAGTTATGAAACTCCCAACGATTTGCATAATTAGCTAGCTATAA